TACTTCTTTTTTTATTCTGTACACTGATCGCTCAGGAAGAATTTAATGTCGGTTTTCTCGAATCACGTAGAAAGGCACCGATTCAGTACAAAATAGTAAGGGTCATGTATTATAATCTGCACCACTACGTATCTGTAATAAAGTATCGCTTATTTATGATTACGGTAGGGGTTCTATAGTAAAGTTCTCCAAGCGGAACTCAAGGAAAACAACAATGTACCTAAATGTAAGCCCCTTTAATAACAAGTGTGCGCATTGTGTTCAGGAATGAGCTTTAATGAATAACAAAGAAATAATGTACACCTCAGGTGGTTTTTGGAGGGCTCGTTAAAGGGGCTTTACTTTACGGTTGACTTTTTTTTTCTGTGTAAAAATCAAACGGTTGTGTACTATATGAACCTTGCAATCTGTTGTGTAACACAACTTGTGTAAAATATTACACAACTTCTTGTTCATTTTTTTACACAGCTGGTTGCTAGGTTCATATAGTACACAACCGAAATAACAGTGCAAAACACAACCATCACAACCTGCAAAAGCTTCACGGAGAGAAATTACGCGTCCACAACACGTTTCTCACCTGCAATTAACAACAACCTTTCAGACGGCCGACTTTGGTCTATGCCGACTCGTCCCTCATGGGAGGCATTGTTATATACTGAGCCAAAAGTTGCTGACAAGATGACAAACAGGGACAATTTATGGAGCTGATTAACTGCAACCCATGAGTTTGTCAAGAAAATGAATTCCTGCACTCGCGGCGTGGAAATTTACGTCCCACATGAGTGGTGCCGAAAAACAACACTTTTCACATAAAGTTTGGTTCGGCATGTTTCCATGCTGAGTAAACAATCAGAACCACTGGAAGCGGAAAACCAGTTTCAAAGTTTCCCCAAAACAGTGAAACTTGTACAATTTGCAGAATTTTGAAACCTCCGTGTACAAAGGACCGATGTATTAGTACATGTGTATATTTTGGTGTCTCCATCATCAATAGGCCAACGCTTACTACTCGCTACATGTTAAACTGAGGCGATCCCTTCATAATGTCTGACCAATTAATCATAATTCATCTAATACCGTAGTCCGTAAATATTAATAATACAACATATAATTTAATTAAAATATTCAATATTATTGTCGCTTTCCCCTTTAAAAGGTATGTATATCTACGAGTCCATGCTTCTTTCTTTTTTTAAATTTTTTTTTTTAATTTCTTTTTACAATGGACTTCTACTTTTCTTACGAGCTCTTTGGCTGTAGTTTACGAATTTCACTGAATGAATTGATCTAGTCTACTAGTTTTTTTTTACCCTTACGTAATAATCTCTAGTTCACTAAAACTACAGCGAATCACCAAAGCATGAAACAAACCAAATTCTTGAAAAACTATCACCTAGTAAAGAGCAACAGTTTTGGCTGTTTTGGGTGATAATGAAGCAAGATAATTGTTTCGTTTACAGGCTTAGGCAAAGTCTCGCTACCGAATCCCTTTTGTGAACAACAATCTCGAAGCGTTCCAAGTCTTAACAGTTCCCTCAAAAACACTGTCAAAATCCACGTTAGTTTCATTGGAACTATTTTGTTACATGCGTAATTCATGTACAAGCACAGGTAGTCAAGTGTAATACCAGTGCGCCAATCAGCAATGATCATTCATAACCATCAGAGCATTTTGACCAGTGAGCGCTCACCTTCTACAAGAGGCGCGCGCGTGACTTTTCACTGTCGCTCACAAAACGGATTCAGAAACCAGACTTTTAGAATCTACAACAGTTCTCTTTCTACTCTACAGTCGTGGAAGAACAGTATATATATTATATAAAAATGTACAGTGGCTTCTAAAAAGTACAAAATAAAAAAGGATCATTTTGGAAGCAGAGAGAGTTCTAGCTAAGTTATAATTACTGCAAAGAAAGATTCGGTGATATTGTGCTATTAAACAGGCGCGCGTACGTGTGGATGTCGGTTGACTGAGCAAGTCTAATAAGGCCTCTTTTTTAAATCACGGTTTTGTCTCCGGCTCCGGCTTTCTATATGATTTGAGGTCTCTCACATTTGGGTGACCCAGCTCAGTATGAGGCAATTTCAGCATCAGCGACATCAAAAGCTAAATATTCAATTAAGAGTCTTTTCATTTGGTTAGGTATTGAAAGGTTTCTATGTGATCCTGGAGCCAGAGTTGAAGCCGACTCAGAGACAAAGGCGTGGTTTCGTAAACACCCTGATAATCTCAAAACCATAAACGTTGTATTTCTTTAAAAACTTTTTCTTTGGAACCACAGGGTAACTCTTCTGTTGGGGAAAGATGAATGCAAATTCTAAAATAAAATTCAGTCAGAATTACTGTGTTACGCATGATTCATCCGCAAATAAACTGAACTTATTTCAGATACAGGCTGACCAATGTTTCAAATAATTATGTCCACACTGAATATTAATTTAAAAAAAAATTAAAAACAAGTGAACCAATATAGCTGCCGGTCAATAAATAGCATGATATACACGTAGAGCAAAAATAAATACATCATCAATGAGAGATTCGAAAATTGTACAGAAAGTATTATGAATCTGTTTAAAATTTCATTGAAATCCAATTTCCTTCTGTTTTTTTGCCCAAAAATAGCGATAATTACCCAGTCTGTTTTCTTACTTTTGAATTCGTAAATAATGCAAATTAACTTTTAAAATGTAGCAAATGCGGCTTGAACTTCATTTTAAGGACCACAACTTCTTTTTTCATTAGCTTATTTTCCTGAGAAATTGATTCACTGACAAATTCGTTTCAGTGTTTCACTCAAAGGAATTCTTGACAACTGTTGGATTTTTTTTGCAACTAAGGCACAATATTGTTTTCGGAAGACATCAGAGAGACATAGGTTTGTCACTATGGAACATTAATTACTATTTACCACATACATTTTCACATTTGCCAGAATCATCGTTCAAAAAAATGACATTTACAAAATATTTCTACAGGAAGAATATAACATTTGGCAGCGAATTAATAGCAAAAGAAAAGAATAGCCTTCATTTCTACATCTACATTTTGCCACTAAGGCTTGCTAATTATAAATATTAATTAATGCTATAAAATAATAGCTTAATTAAAAAAGTACTACATTAAAAAATGGACGGATTGTTTCTCGTGGGCTTAAAACAAAGCATTAAATTAAAACACAAATTTTAAGTTAATACATTTGGATTAAGCTTCATAATCATTTATACACATTTAAACTTTTACTTTGAAAAGAATTTTAATATATAACAACAGTACGAACAATAATAATACAAGATAGATTTTACCCTTGATATTTTGTACCTCTATATGTAATATATTATTTATAACTGACTATTCTGAAATTCTAGCTAAACCCTCTAGCTATAGTGCTAACCAGTACCCTCTAATTTATTCGCATGGCTGATTAGCCTTATTAATATTCATCGATTGTCTACTGAATAACAAAATACTGTCTTAATGAATTATTCATGAATTCTATTTTAATCAGCATGTTATTAACATTGTTTGAATATGTATGCTTAGTGGCTCGGATTAGAGTAAGTACACTTCAGCATTGAATATATTCAAATTATGCTCGAATGAAACATATTCACATTTTTATGACATATGTTGCTTTTTAGAGTCAAGCAAACATATCTCAATTCAAGAATTTCTTTATACAAAGGCACTGTACTGTCTGTCTCCACTGACACAAATGAATATTTTCTTGCATAGATCGTGCATTCTTAAATGCAGCAACAATTTCGGATTTGAAAAGCACATTAAATTATACAACCATAGTTTCTTAAATTATTCATGAATATTTCAATTTGAATATATATGAATTTGCATAAATGTCACAAACCACTGCTTGGTAAATGAAAGACCATTTACTTATTACTCTTTCTTTCTGGTGACCACAACTGTTACAAACTCGATTTTGTTTGAAACACAAGTCTTGGATTATTGCTGAGTTTTGCGAGACATTTTGTAAAATATGAACCTGAAAGCGGTGGAATATTTTTTTAGTTGCCAGGGTGAGCACAATTTTTCATGAATATTTAAGAAAATAAATCCCGTGTCTGTAAGTGATCGCTTTGCTTTCAGGGGTGACTGGCTTAAAGTGTGTTAAATATTCAACTATCTCACCTAGTTCACATGGCAGACATTTTTTTAAGAAGCCGTGGTTTATCTAACGATTGCATCTTTGTTAATGGCCAATTTGTAAATCATAGACTGTCACCCATCCATAGTTTCAACATATTGGGCAAAATGTTTTTTTTTCTTCTCTGAGTACTGATTTCAGGGCAAAAGCTGAAATTTATAGGTAGAATGGACCATTTGTCATTTGTGCATTTTTTTTCTCGTTTGAAGCAACAAAATGGCTCAAAATCTAAAGACGGCGGCTTAACAACTAACCTGATGAAGTTTTAGCTCTGTGAATGCTGTATATTTCGAACAAAACACAATACTCTGGATCTCGATTTCAAATCAAAGGTTGCCAGGTCATAATTTGAGTTGCGCTTTCTCATGACACAATCCTGAAATCACCATTCGGGACGTGACTCTCATTCAGCCGATTGTAGGTACGTGATGTCACACACTGAATTGAGAAATAATAGCAACCGTGCGTGCGTATGCGTCATGTCAGTGCTTGCACCCATTCATGGATTCGCACATTTACAAACCAACTACAAACTGAAATTTCCAAAAATGTGTCACTTGACACATCTTTGGAAAATAGCTTCTTTGATTGTTTTCTTCAAAAAGACAGCACGCCAGAAGGAGTAATTTCACAGGGAGTTTATTACTGTCTTGAAACCAAGTAAGCTTTTTAACAATAATTTGGTCGGTTACTTTTTGGATAGCTGCAAAATGGCCCACTCTTCCTTTAATCACCCAAGATTTTCTCTTTTGTTTCATGGGAAATTATTGCAGTGGCGTCAACAACAAAAAGGGTTAAGTGAGTGTTTCTAATGGTCAAAGTCCGTTAGATTTCTACATCAACAACAAATTCTGAATTCTATGGATGGCAGACTGGCTACTTAGTCTCTCCTCAGTTTTCTTTTTTATTTAAAAGTTTGGTGAGGGTACTACATTCTCTCACAGACTGGCTGGGCGGTTTGGGCGGCCTGGAACTGCGCTTGGTAGATATTGGCCGTGCTGGCCGGCAGGGCGGCGGGCTGGATGGCCTGCTGACCTGTCTGGGGTACCTGGTACTGGAAGGTGGTGCTGGTGGGGGAAGGGGGCACGTAAGCCCCCTGGCCCGCGGCGTACGTGTAGGGGTCCACCCCAGCCGTGTTTAGGTGCTGGTGGTAGGCGTAGGCCGTGGAATAGTCCAGGTAGCCCTGGTTCTGATGCTGGTAGGCGATGGACGGATGGGCGACATAGTACTGTGGGTAGATGTACTGGGCGGCTAATCTGTATATGGAAAAACACAAAAAAATGGAAACCAGTTTTTTAATTTGTTAGACTTGAATCAGGTTTAGTTGAGGGAAATTTAGTTGCGCACTTATAAAACATCAACCCTCAAAAGTTGACAATCTAGTCAGTATTTTAAGTTATACACACACACAAGAAAGTTAGTGATAGTTTCCACATGAAGAAGAGAAGTTGAAACTTAGAGAAGTTGATGTTCTGAGGAAAAAAACGTGAAGTTAACGTGAAGTTTCAGTCAGAATGCGCTGATCACTTTTTTTTAGCTGGTCCTAGAGTGCCAGCCTACAGTCCTCTTTGTACCTGACTAACTGTCACTTGTGAGCCGGGCAGTGCTATTGTATAGGATTCCCCTGTATCATCAATGAATGGGTTAAATCCTGCCAACTGTGTGGACCAGATGCATGAAAAGACTCTCAATGAGTAGCCATTCTGACATCGATTGAACACAATTCCGCGTGCTCAGAGACCAGGGCCCAATGTCATGATGCTGCTTAACAGTTAGCAGAAAAGTTGTGCTTACTGTGGCAGAAAAATGTGCTAACCACAAGCACTATTTCAAGGCCTGGATGTGCTAACGGTTGGAGATTTCTATTGTTACGTCATTGATTTAAGTAACTTTTTCCTCTGAGGTAAGCGTGCCATTTGCTGTGCTTACTGTTACAGTCTCCAGGAAATATAGACGGAGGCTCTGTCAGCAGAAAATTGTGTGCTTAGCAGCGCCATGAAATTGGGCCCAGCTTTTCTGTTTGATAAGCAAAAAACTTTTCTGTTTGATAAGCTAATAAAGCCATTATTTTCTGGTAAGCAGGTCCAGGAAATCGGCCTTGACCAAAGCACCAACAGATGCAGCGTACTTTTGGGCCCCTCCCCCTGCCTGTTTAGCAAAGCTTGTTTCACCCTCATGAGGGCATCATGCGTGCATGGCACTCGTCAAAACCGCTTGACACGGAGTCAAGGGCGAGCCTCAATGAAGCATGTTCCTTCATGGTCATGACTAGAAAAAAAAATGATTTGCTCAAGCAGTCCCCAATTTTGATTTCTGATGGCAACGCCCAAGATTTAAGAGCACAACTGGAAAATCTGATGCTTGAATAATAAATGACGTGGGCTGCCGTGTACGGTGTCCTTATTGCAGGTTTGGGTTTGACTTGGGCAATAATTTGTCCAAACTTTTTGACTTCAGGGGACTTCAAACAACCAGCCCAGCTCTAGGGGGTTTACATGGATCAACAGTCTTTCCTGCTCTGTCAAGTTTTTGTGGCAGTTTCTTTAGCAACTATGACGTCTTCTAGTTTGAGAGGTCTTGGATGTCAGAAGTCAGGAATGCCCCAACCTGTTGCTATTAGAGTGGAATATCATGAAGAACTTCTCTTGTATAGAGCCAACATTTTTACAGTGGCAAAGTCAAATGAACACAGGTTTGAACCTGGAGCCTGGATCCTGTGTCCCTAAGCAGGATATTCTACAAGGATTGATCCTCCCCACATTACAGGAGGCTGATAGTTAACGGTAGCTGCTGCGCAACGGTTGAAAATCTTTTAATCCATTAGCTAATTTCATGGCATTACTTAGTATTTGGCAGAAAAGTTGAGCTTAACTACAGCAGGTAAAACTGCTCATTGTCTACATGTACTTGAAATGGATTAGAGGCTTTGTAAGCAGAAAAAAAGCGTTCAGTTAAAATGGGCAAACGGCATCTGAGATGGTCCCGGAAGCGCTCGCTCTTTACCAGGGCAAGAACACTCAGGCAGTTTGTCATCATGTAACTTAAGCTCCACAACTGCTAATTATTGGTAAATTTATCATTCAGTTCAAGTTATTCTGACAACAAATCCACCTTGAAGTGCAATGCCTGCTCAATGAAATTCCAGTGGACATGACCATAAACAGAGCCCAATAAATTGCCGAACACTTTCATTTTCAGATAGCCATCATCAGAGCTAGTAGCCTGGAACAGTCACGCACCCAGTAAATTTATCGCCTCCTGCAGCAATTATCACATGGACTTCTTGGGTTCCAGATTCTGACACTGAAAATCTTTCAAAGTTGCTGTCCCCATACCATTGCAATTTTCATACCGAAATATAGATTTTGTTGTGTAAATTTCTGTTTTTCTGACAACACAAGAGTTATCTACCTTTAAATGAGATATCGAACGAAACATTACACCTATGTTTAGCTATGGAATAATTATAGTGTACAACTTGCAATTTTTTTTTTTTTTTACAGCCTGACAATAACTCAGTCCTATCTTTTGTGGATTAAGCAGCCCCAGATCAAAGCATATTTGCAGAGGGTGCAAAAGATCAAAGATAGGAAAAAAAAGTAGTTTTTGCTGTTTTTTTCGAGTTTCAATACAAATTGAAATTGAAAGTGCCAGGAAAATTTTGTTTGCACAAATGCTATGGGCAAAATGACTGGGGGGGGGGGAGGGATCTCAACAAAATCGAAAACAAGGGCTGTTTCAGCACGTTTTGCCGAAACAGCCCAAAAAATGATTAATGTTAAAGAGCAAGGGTATAGAGCAACTAGCAACTTTAAGATTCCAGAGCCTGTCACTAAAACTCCTTGACAATGACCATCAAACCAGAGATGATAAGGACCCCCAAGGGCCCAGTAAATCACTCTAAACAGCCCCAACAAATGATCCATCCGAGACCCCCACTGCAACTCTGTATTGGTGTTTCTGGGCCAAGCAAAATGTCTTCAGAGCTATTAGCTAGGAGAACGGGAGCCTGTCAACTCTGAGCACAACCTGTTCAGGGGGTGGGTTCCATCTCTGATTTCTGTAGCGGCAAAAAAACCTAAGGCCTGTGGTTAATTTCTCTGACTGTGCACATTTTTACATGCATTGTAGTCGAAGCCTTTTGCAAGTCCAGTCGCAAGCAAATCCAAGGGTGTCAATTGGTTCTCAAAAGTGGGGGGACATACCTTGATCAGAACCAATACAAGCGCAAAGCGCAAAGCCTTAATGGCGTGGGGTTCGGGGCCTGCTTAAGGGCCCCTAAACTAATTTGGAATCTAGATGCTCTATGGTACGATCTGAGGCAATTTCTGACCACTTTAACCATGTTTTAAAGCAAAAGATCATCGTTTAAACATCATTTTCGAGTTTGCAGTCACTGAATCAGCTATTTTGCACAAGGCGTTTAACCATTGATCCCTTTCAGAGGAAGGTGGAGCCCATCAGCCACTAACCATTTTACATAGGACTCGATGCCCCTTCAAAGTTCAAATACCCCCCAAAAAACCGTGCCATTGGTAACCACCACCTTGACAGAGGTGGATTCTGGAGGACAATCCAAATATACATTTAAGGGTTTGAATGTTTCGAGCCCCTGGGATATTTTCTTAAAAAGCAGAAAGTGCTCAACCAGAAACAACTCGGATTTAAGTCACAGGAAGACTTTAAAAGCTGCTGGTAAACATGTGAAATGATATGCAAACTTCAGAGAACAGTGGTAAACTGAAATGTGTGCTCAACTCAGGAAACCAGGGATTAAGCTACTTTTGTGAACACCATTTGGTAAAAAATATTGACAATAACGTGTGCTCAACACGGGAAACTATGGATTACAAGTGGACAATTTCCTCCAATCAACAAGGCTGTTTTGACAGAATGGCTGTTTTGAAGCTTAAACTCTTTTGGTTGAATAATGCAAGGTGGAGGCAGGCTGACGTCATCCAATGAAAACATCTAAATTCATTTGCACACCAGTTTCCATTGGTTGCTATGTGTTACCATTCAGCACTCCTGACTCAAGAACCATTGCGTTTCAAGAACATAGGTCTGGGAGCTAGAGAAACCAAAGTAAATTATTCCCGGATGTCCGTGCCCACCTATAAATGGTTCAAGCGAAGGCAAATACTGCCAAATGTACTTGACATTGAATTAAGCGGATTAAAAGAGCATTAGCAGATTAACTTTCTCATGTAAATAAGCCTATGGAGGAATAAAACGAGATCGGAACTTGTCATGACTTAGATTTTTTTTTAAGGACACAAAGAGCAGAACCTGCCTAGGGGAGCGATTAGCCCTGATAATACTCAAAAGTAGTGACGATTAGAATCACCATTCAGAATCCACCGCGTTCCCACCAAATGGGGCGTACCAAACCGCCCCACAGAACATTCAAGATTGTTTGATAAATTCTCACTGCAGAAAAATGAGACGACACATTTGTTTACCTTAGATACCATGTCTAGATGGGACAATTTGAGGGAAATCTCCGGATAAAGTTTTCTGCGCTACCTGTCAAATACTGAACGCAGGACCAAAAATCTTTCAGCATCGACCTTTTTTATACGAATGAAATCAAAAGCAACCTTAATTCAAGATTGCCTGATATATTTTCTTGACAATGGAACAAACGAGGCGACTGATTTAATCCTCATCTAATCTCACTTCAAGACTGGAACTTTGAAGGGAACAAAAAATGACAAAATTGATAGATAAAGAGAATTGGAACCACAGCATTTTCGGGTACTTTTGAAAGCTGTTTAAGCCTCATTTCAGATTGGTTGATAACCTTTTTTTCCACAATGAGACAAACGAACCGACAAATTTGTGTACTTTAGACACCACATCAAGACTACAAATTGCCGAAAATCTTTGGAAAAGAAATCTAATTTTCTGCACTCTTGATCAAGTGCTGAACACACGACAATAAAAAATCCTTATCCAGAACCATCTATTTTGACATTACTAATATCGAGTCGATGCAGGTACCCGTGACAGCGCATGTTCAAGTAATTTGATCATTCACAGAAGAAAAAAAACCATGGAAGTTACAGAAAAAAAAGGTTTGCCCCCATCCCCTTCCCCAACGCCCACTACTAAAACTTGGCTGCCAGTAAAAGTAGACCCAAGTTCGGGGCAATGTCCTAACACATCTCCATTTTCACATTCAATTAAGCTGTAGCCGTTCCGTGGAGACCCCAGTCTACCGGGAACCGAATGCAAAAACGCAAAGAGCTGACAG